AGTTCTGTATTAATAACCTTGGAGAGCTGAGGTTGGCAAACTATAGCCCATGAGCTAAAATAGGTTTTATATTTTTAAAATAAAAGAAAAAAGGGATACATGACAGCAGTTGTCTGGCCTACACAGCCTAACATATTAATACGTGGCCCTTAATGGAGAAAGATTTGCCCCAACTCTTTGAGATCAGACTTGCAGGAATCATAACAACAGAGCTGGTAACTTGCTGAAGTCTTAGGAGGAACGTGGTCATAGCTGACACTGAACCAGAGAGAACAAATGTGTGGGCCTTTCTGCCACAGGGGTGAGAAAAATCAAGCTGTGTCTAAGATTAACGCACAGAAATAGGCACCAAGGTTTTAACTGTCATAATCGCCACCAGGTATTGACTGTGCGCTGGACCCTGCACTGAGCATTATCTATGCACGAATCAGTTTAACTGCCACCTCTGCCCTCCTGGCTCGACCACTTACCAGCTGTGTGGCCTTGGGCAGGTTTCTTAACCTCTTGCACCTCATTTTCTTCCTATTGAAAATGGGAACAGAAATAGTGCCTACCTCATGGAGTTGTTGATGAGAATTAAGTGAATTAATTAAGGGAAAGCACGTGGGACAGTGCCTAGCATGTGACAAACTCTCCGTAACTAAAATTACTATTCTTACCCTAATTTTTCACATGAAAAAATGAATGTTTAGAGAAAATAATTTGTTCACTGTCAGAGTGGTGGGACATGGACCATTAATTTGTACTGTGCCAAGCTGCTAGAGGTGGGCAGCAAATTTGACTAGAAATGGGTTGCTAGAGATGAAGTTGCCTAGTGGCCAACTGAAAGAGACATCATGATGTAGCAGGTCACTTCCTTGACCACCCATCTGCAGAGACGCTGTGGGGAGCTTTGTTTTCCTGCCACTGTACAGTTCAGTAAGGCAGTTCTATGACTGTGGGACTGAAATACGGATCAGGTGTGCTTTTCCCATAGCATCCGCAGTAGGTCTCATTGGAGCTGTTGTCAGTGAGTACGGGGTCTCTTTTGGCATTCAGTGGTCAGCTAAGTATCTGTTAACTTCTCCCAGACCACAGTTTGGAAGTGATGGCCAAATAGTAGCTTCCAAGTTGGAGAACGTATGGAGGTACCGGGAGTGTGGTGTGCCTGAAGAGGGCATCACAGCTCCATGCCCTTTCCCACATACCTTGCCCTGTGAGTCTCTTCCATCTGGCTGCTCCTGAGTTGCAGGGCTGGAGGTGGCATCATCAAAATGGCAATGTAGGATACCCAGCCTCCATCTCCCTACAAAGATCGACAATATATATAAACAGAGCACCGGAGTGCACTTAAGAAACTTCAGCACTGCAGGGAACCAAAAAACCCTGAGACTAACCATACAAAAAGGGGAAGGCAGCTTCATTCTGCCTGCATCATCCTGTCCCCAAAACTAGCATTGCTCAGCACCAAGAGGGAGCTCCCAGCTAGATAGAGGACCCTTCACTAGGAAAGGGGAAGTGGGGTGAGTGACTAGCTTCCCCAGCCTTTTGGGGCACCACATGAAGGTGCCACTTCAGATTTACCCCACCCAGAGACTGGCAAAGCTGAGACACACAGAGATGGAACAAGGAAGAAAAGTAGGAGCTACCAGAAGCAGGCACACAGCAGAGCGACTGTGGTTTCTAGACACCTGCTCTACAGACATACCCAGCAGCTTTCACCACTGAAGAAAACGAGAGACAGCACAGCCACCATGGACTCCCTGCAGATTTCACCAACTTTCACCCACAGGTATTTGCATTCACTGGCATCAGCCACCTGAGTCCTACCTACTTTCTCCCTGCCCTGATCTGGCCCCTGCTAGAGCCCAGGTACTGCACCAACAGCCAGCCCAGGCCTCTTTGTGAATATAAGACATGAACCTAGATGCCCCATCGCCATGTGTGCATTTGGGGCAAGCCCCTTCAGCTGTGCACTTGCACACTGCCGGCCTGACACCTGTCACTGGCTTCCACTGCTGTGTGCACACCTAGGGGGAGACTGCAGCCACAGGAGAGCATGCAGATAGCTAGGGGCTCTTGTAGCTGCCAGGGTGCCTGCAGCTGGCCCTGGCCTTTGCTGCCTGCCCTGGCACCCACGACTAGGTGCATGCCTGCAACTGGCCCCAGCCACTACATAGGTACTTGTAGCTGACCCCTGTAGCTGAGCTGACCACAGGCATCGGCCACCACCGCTGCCTGTTCCAGTCCCTGGATCTAGAGGTGCTGCTCAGAACCCCAACAGCCACTGTAGCCTTTGCAGACTCCCTGCAGCATTCATCAAGGACCACACAGTTGTTGATGCTGTAGACCCCAGCAACCTGAGCCAAAGAGAGACCATGCCTCTTGGACCCCTTGCTGCCACATGCCCCCACACTTGGTACCCTGCACCAGTAGACCTGGGTCACAGCATGTTGCAGTGTGCCCACTCCCTCTCCAACCCTTGTAGGTGTGAAAGTCTTCACTTACCAAAGTCAGTCCATAATGTCTGTAAGAGATGACTGCTTCTTGAAATGCAGACACTCATGCAAGGCTACAGGGATCATGAAGAATCAGGGAGACGTCTCCATCAAAGGAATACAGTCAACCTCCAGTAACTGGCCCTAAAGAAACAGAGATCTAGGATTGCCTGATAGTTTAAGAAAATTGTCTAAAGATGCTCTGAGAACTACAAGAGAACAAACAATTTAATCATATCTGGAAAATAGGACAAGAACAAATAAGACGTACATCAAAGAGACAGAAAATCTAAAAAAGAAATTTTGGAGCTGAAGAATACAATGACTGAATTGAAAAATTCAGTAGAGAGCTTCAACATCAGACTTGAAGATGAAGAAGAAAGAATCAGTGAGACAGATCAACTGAAATTATCCAGAGGAGCAAAAAGAATGAAAAGGACTGAAGAACACCTATAGGACTTAGGAGACCCCGTTAAGAGAAACAATGTACATATTATTGGAGTTACAAAAGGAGAAGAGACAGAGAAAGAGGTAGAAAGCTTATTTAAAGAAATAATGGCTGAGAATTTCTCAAACCTGGGAGAAATATGGACTTCCAAGTTCATGAAATTAATAGCTTACTCCAAAATTTCAGTCTAAAATGATCTTTCCTCATAAGGCTATCAGCAGATTTCCCAGTAGAGACCTTGCATCTAGGAGAGAATGGAGTGATAATATTCAAGTACTGAAAGAAAGAAAGAAAAAAAAAACCTGCCAACCAAGAACCCAGCAAAGCTGTCCTTCAGAAATGAAGGTGAGATAAGACTTTCCCTAACAAACAAAAACTGAGAGCGTTCATTACTAGACTTTATATAAAAATGCTGAAAGGAGTTCTTCAAGCTGAAGGGAAAGGACACCAATTAGTAACGTGAAAGCATATGAAAATACACAACACACTGGTTAAGGTAAGTATACAGTTAGATTCCTAATACTCTACTACTGTAATATGGTGGTGTGTTAATCACTTAACTTTAGTATAAAGGTTAAAGGACAAAAGTATTTTTAAAAAAGCTTTAGCTACAATAATTTGCTAGTGAATACATAATATAAAAATGTATTTTGTGTATGTATGTAAATTGTGACATTAAAAACATAAGAGGGAAAGCAAAAGGGTAGAATTTTTATATACAATCAAATTATCAGCCTAAAATATACTATTATATCTATAAGATGTTTTATGTAAGTCTCCTGGTAATAAAGCAAAAACAGTAGATTCGCAGAAGATAAAGACAAGGAAATTAAGACGTATCACTATGGAAAATCATCAGCTCATAAATGTGGGCAGCAAGAGAGGAAGACAGCAACAAAAGGACTACAAAATAGCCAGAAAACAGTAAGATGGCATTAGTAAGTCTTTATCATTAGTTACTTTAAATTTAAATGAACTGAATTCTCAAATAAAAGACAAAGAGTGGCTAAATGGATTAAAAAACCCAAAACTCAACTATATATTGCCTACAAGAGACTCACGTCAGCTTTAAGGACACACATAAGCTCAAAGTGAAGGTGTGGAAAAAGATATTCATGCAAATTGAAAGCCACAAGAAAGCAGGGATAGCTATACTAATATCAGACATAATAGACTTTAAGCCAAAAGTGGTAACAAGAGAAAAAGAAGGTCATATAATGACAAAGGGGTCAATTTATCAAGAAGTTATAACAGTTGTAAATATATATATGCACCTAGCATTGGAGCTAAATATAGTAGCCCAAATATATTAAGAAAATACTAACAGATCTGAAGGAATAAATACACAACAATATAATAATAATTAGAGACTTTAATGTTCCACTTTTGACAATGGATAGATCCTTCAGACAGAAAATCAACAAAGAAACAAGAAAACTTGAACCATACTTGAGACCAAATGAGTCAAACAGATATATACCGAACATTCCCTCCAACAATACACATTCTTCTCAAATGTACATGGAATGGTCTCCATGATAGGTTATCTAATAGGTCACAAAACAAGTCTTAACAAATTTAAGAAGACTGAAATCATACCAAGTTATCTTTTCCAACCCCAATGGTATGAAATCAGAAGTCATTAACAAGAAGAAAGCTAAAAAATTCACCAATATGTGTAAATTAAACAACACATGTCTGAACAAACAATGTGTCAAAGAAGAAATCAAAAGGAAAATTTTAAAAATCTTGAATCCAACAAAGATGGAAACTCAACGTACAAAAACCTATGGGATACAGGAAAAGCAGTTTTAAGAGAATTTTCTATCAATAAATGTCCAATTAAGAAAAAAAAAATCTCAAACAACCTAATTTTACTCCTCAAACAACTAGAAAAGAAAGAACTAAGCCTAAAATTAGCAAAAGCAACGAGATAATAAAGATGAGAACATAAATAAATGAAATAGAGACCTGAAAAACTATAGAAAAGATCAATGAAATTAAGAGCTGGTTTTTTGAAAGATAAACATAGTTGGCAAACTTTTAGCTAAATTAAGAAAAAAAAGACTCAAATAAATAACATTATAAATGAAAGAGGAGACATTATAGTGGATACCACAGAATACAAAGGATCTTAAGAGATTATCATGAACAACAAATTGGGAAACCTAGCAGAAACTGATAAATCCTTAGAAACAAACAACCTACCGAGACTGAATCATGACACAACTAAAACTCCAAACAAACCAATAATGAGGAAGGAGATGGAAACAATAATCAAAAACCTCCCAATAAGAAAAGCCCTAGACCAGATGGTTTCACTGGTGGATTCTACCAAACAGTTAAAGAAGAATTAATGCCAACCTTTTTAAAACTCTTTCAAAAAATGAAAGTGGAGGGAACACTCCCAAACTCATTTTATGAGGCCAGGATAACCCTGGTACCAAAGCCAGATAAGGATACTACAAGGATAGAAAACTACAGACCAATATCTCTGATGAATACTAATGCAAAAATTCACAACAAAATAGTAGCAAACTGAATTCAAAGGCACATTAAAACAACCGTATATCATGGTTAAGCAGCATTTATCCCTGGAATGCAAGAATGGGTCAATGAATGCAAATCAATAAATGTGATATACCACATTAATAGAATGAAAAATAAATCATATCCTTTCAACAGAAGCAGAAAAACATTTGACAAAAGAACATCCTTTCATGATAAAAACTCAACAAGTTGGGAAGAGGGAACATACTTCAACATAATATATGGTAAGTTCACAGCTAACATTATACTCAATGGTCCAAAGTGAAAATTTTTCCAAGATCAGAAACAGGTCAAGGGTGATGACTCTCATCCCTCTTATTCAACATAGTACTGGAAATCCTAAACAAAGAAATCAGACAAGAAAAAAAAAGACATCTAAGTCAGAAAGGAAGAAGTAAAATTGTCTTTATTTGCAGATGATATGATTTTACATATAAACATTCCTAATGAGTCCAACAAGAAAAGCTAAAGCTAATCAATAAATTCAGTAATATTATAGGATAGAAAATTAATGTACAGAGATCAGTTGTATTTCTGTGTACTGACAAGTATCTGAAAAAGAAAAAAAAATCCCCTTCATAATAACATGAAAACAATGTTTAGATTGTACATATAAATGATACCATATAGTATTTGTCTTCATCTGATTTACTTCGCTTATTATGGTATCATTTATATGTGGAATCTAAAATATACAAATGAACTTATTTACAAAACAGAAACAGACTCACAGATATAGAAAACAAACTTACCATTACCAAAGGGGAAGTGGGGGGAGGATAAATTAGGCATTTGAGATAAGCAGATACAAACTACTACATATAAAATAGATAAACAACAAAGGGCCTACAAGGAACTATATTCAGTATCTTGTAATAACCCATAGTGGAAAAGAAAATGAAAAAGAATATATATACACATATACACACACACTTGAATGTATATATGTAACTGAATCACTTTGAGGTACACCATAAACTAATACAACATTGTAAATTAATTATACTTCAATAAAAAAAAGTTTAGGAGTAAACTTAACCAAGGAGGTGGAAAGATCTTTACACTATAAACTACAAGACTTTGATTTGAAAAATTGAAGACACAAAGAAATGGAAAGACAGCCTATGTTCATGAATTGGAAAAGTTAATATTGTTAAAATGTCCATACCAACCAAAGCCATCTGTAGATTCAGTGTGATCCCTATCAGAATCCCAATGGCATTTTTCACAGAAATAGAAAAAATAATCCTAAAATTTGTATGGAAACACAAAAGATCCCAAATAGTCAAAGCAATCCTGAGAAAATGAATACATTGGAGGCATCATACTTCCTGTTTCATACTATACTACAAAGCTACAGTAATTAACATAGTATGGTACTGACATAGAAATAGACAAATAGACTAGTGCAATGGAATCAAGTGCCTAGAAATAAACAGTTGGATATATGGGTAAGTAATATTTGACAGGGAGCCAAGAATACTCATTGGGGAAAGAATAATCTCTTTAATAAATGGTGTTGGTAAAACTGGATAACCAAATGCAGAATAATAAATTTGGACCCCTATCTTATACTACTCAAAAAAATTAACTCGAGATAGATGAAAGACTTGAACACAAGACCTGAAACTAAAAGTCCTAGAAGAAAACACAGGGAAAAGACTTCTTGACATTGGCCTTTGCAATGATTTTTTGGATATGACACCAAAAGCTCTAGCAACAAAACAAAAACTCGTTAAGTGGGATAACATCAAACTAAAAAGCTTCTGCACAGCAAAAGAAAGAATCAACAGATAAAAATGCAACCTATGGAATGGGAGAAAATATCTGCAAATCATATATCTGATAAGGAGTTAAAATCCAAAATACATAAAGAACTCATACAACTCAATAACAAAAATAACTAAACAATCTGATTTAAAATGGGCCAGAGGACTCAATAGATACTTTTTCAAATAAGATATACAGTCAACAGGTACATGAAGAGGTACTTGACATCACTGAACATCAGGGAAATGCAAATCAAAACCACAAGATGATCATCTCACACCTGTTAGAAAGGTTATTATCAAAAAGACAGGAGATAAGTGTTGGTGAGGATGTGGAGAAAGCAGAACCCTCATACACTGTTGATGGGAATGTAAATTGATGCAGCCACTATGGAAAACATGATGTTTCCTCAAAAAATTAAAAACAGAACTGATTCAGCAACCTTACTTCCGGGTATATATCTGAAGGAAATAAAAATAGGATCTTGAAGAGAACATACACTCCCATCTTCACTGCAGCATTATTTACAATAGCCAACATGGAAACAACAGGTCTGTCAATGGATGAATGGATAAAGAAATTGTGGTGTGTATGTATGTATGTATGTATGTGCGACACAATGGAATATTAGTCATAAGAAGGAAATCCTGCTGTTTGAGACAACATAGATGGACCCTGAAAGTAACATGCTAAGTGAACTAAGTCAGATAGTGAGAGACAAATACTATATGACTTCACTTATTATGTGGAATCTAAAAAGCCTACCTCATAGCGACAGAGTAGAATGGTAGTTGCCAGGGGCTGGGGAGTGGTGGAAGTGCGGAGATGTGGGTCAAAGGATACAAACTTCCAGTTATGAATATATTCTAGGGATCTAATGAACAGCATGGTAATTACAGTTAATATATTACAAATTTAAATGTTGCCGAGAGTAGTTCTTAAATGTTCTAACTACAGAAAAGAAATGATAATTATGTGATGTGACGGAGGTGTTAGCCGATGCTATGATGGGACTCGCATTACATTATATTGTATTAGTAGATCAAACCAGCATGTTGCACATCTTAAATGTACAGTGTTACATGTCAACCACATCTCTGTAAAACTGGAAAAGGAAAATACAGCCAAATCACAGTTCATTGGATGATGGAGATAAAGGTGGAATGAAGGAGGGCATACAGCAGGAACCAGTACAGATCTGAGGTGTAACTCAGAATATTTTGTGTTAGGGTCAAGCATGGAAGAGAAAGTCAGTAAAATCAAGGCTAATCTGCAGAATTTTATCATTTCCTTTTTAAAAAGAAGTGTAAATGTTGGTTGTCTCCAGTTTTCTTTGGCTCCTAGAAATGGAGGCAAGCAGATTTTAAACCAAGAACATGGTTTGTTAAGTCTCTAGAATATCCAAGAACATGGTGCCTGTCTTGCCTTTGTACTACTTTGTTAGTAGTCAAGGTTGCTTGAGTTATGAGTCTTCTGGTTTGTGAATGTCTTGATTTTTAAGGAACACTTTTGGGGAGCACTGACAGGTGCCATTGGCAGGCTCCATCTGCAGACTTACCTGCAGGAACAGTATCTCACAAAGCTGAGGAGAGGCTTGTGACAAGGAAGAGAGTAGGTCCTCATGGCTTCAGAAATTCTCCTGTGGATTAGATCGAGGGGATTCTCCAGTCAGATGTGACACAGAAACTACCACCATGCCTTTCCAACCCAGGTAAAAGAGGGATTAGCTCACCTGAGGGCAGAGCCCTGCGAAGGGTGTGGCAGATGTCAGTCTCTGACTACAGCTCTCTTCTTTGGGATGCTAACCCAGATAGACTCAAACACAGGCAGGGCTGCTCGCCCACACCGAATCAGGTGTGGGTTTGGGCGTCCATCTGAAACAACTTTCACTTGTGTAGTGAGAAACTGGGACAGGCAACAGAACAGGTGCTGGAGGAGGGGCCCACCTCACTGTGGGCAGACTCTTTGCATCTGTATTAATAGTGGCCTCTCCCACAGATTAGCTAATCCAGGCTTTGGTGCTTTATTTCCTTCTAAAACTAATGGCCTGTGTCCTCCTGAGTTATGTGTGGCATGGAGAAAATTAGTTCAGATGTCAGCTTTTCTTTTTTGTTTTTCTTCCAAGAATGGCAGGATGCTAGGCAGGAGGCACAATCACATGGTCTTCATATCTTTTGAAAGCGGATTTTCTGGGGCCTAATCCCAGGGGAGTTGGATACAATCTCTGGTAATTATTGATTCAGCTCCCATTGGTGTTGAACTTCCTGAGGAATTAAACAAGAACAGTTCACACACACTCCTCAGATGCAGGAAAATGTTAAACCAGAAGTCCTTCCCAGTCACCATTTCGTTAAGATTAGGAGAAAAAGAAAGCCAAAGAGCAGATTCTGAAATAACCCCATTCCCCACGGTGCCATAAGAAGCTGGAGCTCTTGAGGGCCAAGATCAACAGCAAGTGCCAACTAGGTCCTGGCTTGTGGTCCCAGCAGGACCAGCCTGCCACTGCCAGAGGCTTGTTGTTGTTAAAAATGGGTCTCCTGACCTTTCCTGCCTGGGCGCTCCCAGGAGCTCGGATGTTGGTGTAGTAGACTCAAGGACTCTCAAGTTCAAGTCACTGGCAGATTGTATGGAGATGAGACCTGGAGTTTCTGTCGCCGAGGTGATGGGGGGCAGCACCTCACTCAATGCTAGGGTCAGATCAGCTGAACCCAAAACTTGCCCTGTTGCCGGCCGAGCAGTGGCACGTCCACTTTGCCCCTCTGGGGCTGATGAGGGCCTGGGGGAGGACCCAAGACCCCGCCCAGTCTCTGCCTTGCCCACAGGCTTGATGAAATGTAGCATGCTAATTAGGAGCTTCCAAAATCAGAGCAAATCTCCTCCCTAGGGTACACCTAGTTTTTAGGGGTTTAAAAATAAACCCTGAGACAGAGATTTCAAGACACCAAATGACCTAGAAATCAGTTCAAAGGTTATTCTGTTCCTTCCCTCCACAGAACTTGGCATTCCCATGTTGGTTTCAGCTGCCGTCTCAGTTAATTCTTCCGTGTCTGAGCAGATATGGACCTCCCAAAATGTTTCAGGGAGTAGACTTAAGAGGAGTCTGTCCTGCTCTATGAGGGAGGGAATTTAGCCAGCAAAGATCTTTTGGAGAAAGCTGCACACAGGTTTTGATGCAAATTGCTTTGAGAATAGTCAGAATTTTACTTTTCAGACCAAGAGAATGGGTCGGTGTTTCCATAAAATCATGCTTACCAGTTAGTACTGATTTGTACTTAAAGGGCTGGAGGTGCCTGCTGTTTCTGACTTATACAAACAAGGGATCACAGGGTGAGGGGAGTTGTGGTGAGGGAAATACAATTCCTTTTCTGTAGTGATACAAAATGTCTCGTTGGATTTCCACATAAGAGCGTATCTTTATCTCAGTGCTGATGATAATAGCCCACCACCATCACTGACTGAAGATTTAGAGTGTGATCCCTTTATGTTCATCCAGGTAAGTTCCCATACTAACCTTGGTGAGGCAGGTACGACGATTATTCCCATTTTTCAGATGGAGAAACGGAGACAGGGAGGGTAAGGAGTGTGTCTGGTCACAGAGCTAAGCCATCTGTCTATAGTCTGGATCTTAAGCATCAAGCAGCATTTGGCCTCCGCTGGTGCTGGCAAGTGTGCCGATCACTGTCAATTTTGGATTTTGAATTGACTGAAGCTGCTTATTTCCACAAACACCCAGGACGCAGTCTGCACCCTCTGCTTAAACGAGGGACTTGGGATGAGCAGCATCAAAGCCCCCGGAAGCTTGTCAGAAATGCAGGTTGTTAGGCACCCATGGGACAACTGTACTATTTGAACCCTAGCCAGTATTCCAGCTCAAGAAATCCTGCTCTCTGATATCAGAGAGAAACAGACTCTTCACTGTCTCCCTCCCTGCCTTCCCTCCTCTTTGTCTAATCTTGTCCTGTCATTTTAAGTTCTTCAAAATTAACAGAAAGTTACAGACAAAACACAAAATATCTTACCAGGAAGCACTGAAAGCCATAGAACCAAAAGCATGACAGGATTTCTTAGCATCTTTGAATTGCTTTTGAGAAATGAAAGGAAGATTCAAACATGTAAAAGATTGTGAGTTTCAAGTCACAGTAACAGACATGGAAAACAGGCTTGTGGTTACCAGCGGGGAAGGGAATGGGAAGGGAAAAACTGAGAGTTCGAGATTTGTAGATGCTGACTAGCACATATAAAATAGATAACAAGTTTATACTGCATAGCACAGGGAACTGTATACAATATCTTGTAGTAGCTTATGGTGAAAAAGAATATGAAAACGAATATATGTATATTCATGAATGACTGAAGCATTGTGCTGTACACCAGAAATTGACACATTGTAAACTGACCATACCTCAATAAAAAAAAGTCACAGTAACAGAATTATACACACAGAGAACCAGCTGAGACATGGAGGTTCTTAGTCCATTTTGCGTTGGGGTGCATACCCTGGGGCAGATGCTGCACAACTCAGAGCCCCTCTGTGGTATAAGCCTTGTTGATGGAGAAGAAAACTAAGAAGCAAGCTGTCAACAAGCCAGTTCCTGCCAAATCCCATTTGTCGGCCTGCCAACCAGCATTCTAAAAATGCATTTGGGAATTTTGACTTTTGGCTTTTACTGAGTATGAAATTCAACGGTGTATTTATAGCCTTGATAAGCTGACCCAGCTCAGGGAGAACTCTGATACATTTTGTCTTACAAGATTCAGAATCCACTTCTAGAGGAGGTAGTAAGGAGACCATCGAAAGATTGAAGTGGGGAGGGTATAGCTCAAGTGGTAGAGCACATGCTCAGCAGGCACAAGGCCCTGGGTTCAATCCCCAGTACCTCCTCTAAAGATAAATAAGCCTAATTACCCCCACCCCCGCCAAAATAAAAAATAAATACAGTAATAAATAAATAAAATATTTTTAAAAATTTAAAAAAAGATGGAGTTTAAAAAAAAAAGATTGAAAAGGACCTCTCCCTCAACCTCCTGCAGTCCGTCTGAAATTCCCCTTCAGTTTGTCCACTTCCCAGGGAGCAAGGGCGGGGCTTGGGGCTTGGAGGACCCTCGGTCTTTGCACCAGGCTATAGAAGCCAGTGTACTAGGGCCAGCATCACTTTCTGGTCCCCCTAGTCGCCCATAGGGGCAACCATGAAAATAGGATTTAAGAAAACGGAGGATCAATACCTACTGCCTATTACTTTGGACCCAGTATTTCAAAAATCAAACTATTCAGGGAGAGCTTCAGTTTTGGCAGAAAGCATGCAATTGTGCTGTTAGCAGTGCTGTACCTTCATGCTCCCGAGTTAGCCAGATCTCGGGTTGAATCTGGTGTCAGGACTGGGACAAGGTCTTTACTCCAATCCTTCATTTTTAAAAAAAATTTCATGTTTACTATATTTTGAATGTGTATTTGAGTCACTTAGAGAACACCTGCAGACCTGACCTCCCCAGGGGCGAGGCACTCACCTCACACAACTGAAATGCGCCATCACAGTTTTCTGGTGGCTTCATTAGCTTCAAAGTAGAAAATGGTTTGCGTGTTTACCTATGATGGCCTCCTAGACTTTGGAAATGTACTTAAACAATTGTTTTTCTTAATGCTTTTCTTTCTGCATCCCTCCAGCCTCTTCCGTGAACTGTTTCAAAGGCAGCTGAGCACAGAGCACCAGCCTGTTCTTCAACCCAGCATCACGGGCACATCCAGCTTGTGCCCAGTTGGTGTCACCTTCGGGTGCCCTCCCTGGAGACAGAACAACAAATCTTAATCCTCATGAGGCTTCTGAGGAGCTCGGGGAGCAGCGTGATTCCTTACCAAAGGCAAGGGTCAGAGGCCACAGGGTGGTTCCATCACACATTCTGGAGGCTGTCAAAAATTTCAGAACGTTCAGTTAAAAATATTTTATTGAAGTTTATACAAAATACAGTCATGTACAAAAATGTACATAACAGTTTTTTAAAATTCGGTTTACATTTATAAAAGGAACAACCGTCATTTCAAATAACGTTCTGCTTCCGTGTCATGTAAACATTGCTCTGGGCCCATGTTATTTTACTAAAATTGTACCCACCCTTGGAGATGTCATGATCGTGTGGATGCCTTCAGATTGAGAATTCGATCTGACACACGGATTTCTCGAGCTGCGCATGTGACCACGACTGGCTGGATTCCAGGCAAAATGAGATCCCCTAGAGACATAAGTGCAGTTTCATAGCAGTACGGACTTGCAGCTGTGCGGGTTTCATGCGGCTGCACACCCGCGGAGACCTGTAAGCCTCAGCCTATCTACACACACCTATTACGAAGGACTGTGGTGGGAGCGCGCAGATACCCACGAGGACGCAGTCCCTACCCGGGAAAGCAGCCAGCGCCACAGTGCGCGCACGTCACCCGGCTCTGGGGCCTGTGGGGGCGGCCACGCCGAGACGTCAGCATACACAATTTCAGTACACACAGATCTGAAAGGACGCTTTGCCTCTCTTTTGACAAAATGTCGTTTACAGTAGATTTTGAAGGTCGTGTGTGGAAAAAATAAAAAGCAAGGGGATTAATGAAAGGAGAGCACATTCTGGCTTCTGCTAACCCCACGGGCTTCCAAGGAAACACTGCTTCAGCGTTTTAGTCCAGTTTTACCCTCCCTGTTGGTTTAACCAAACGGAAGAATACCACAAAGGTGTGGGTTTTGGCGCAGAAACCGCCTCTCCTAACCCAGGGAGAAACCCCCTCAGGAAGCCCCGCCTTGAAAGCAAAACCGATTTTAGACCACAACCAGATTTGCACAAAGCAAAGAGTTAATGGCATTCAACTATAAATATACCAATGGTAGAAAATGATATACCTTTAAGAAAAATTGCATCTTTGTGATCAGATTAAGAATCTCTTAAAAAACTAATAAACTAAATTTTGATTTTCCTTGCAGATCTGTGATCAGTTCTGGATACACGACCCAATTCTGTTTACTGAGAACTAGGCAGCCCCAGAAAGAACCAACTTACCTGGTACATGGCTGCCCCTTGATTCTCATAATAAACCTTAATATTCACCTTATGAGGAATTCTAAGCTCAACCACATCCATGAAGGCCCATCCCTCAGGACACCTCAGTGCTATACTTATGACACAAGCACAGCCCTGAGGCATTTGTCCTGGGCTAGACATGCCACACCTGGGAACAGGTGCATCCTGTTAACAGGCTCTTCCACCACCACGCAACTGTTGCATCAGAATGAGACAAAGCAAAAATCACACTGATACCACAGAGGCACTGCTGATCCTTCCCTTGGCAATGAATAATAATCTTTTGACTTCCAGCTGGCAACCAAAAGGAAGAAATCTAATTATTAGCTCCTAATGAATTAGGTAGCAATTAAAAGAAAATTGGTCCTCCAGTTTGAAATATGATTTAGTCTTTCATGGAAATTTCCCCTGAACTGGAGATCACTGACATTGTGTGAGCTTTCTCCTACCAGCACAAGACACAATTTCAGCTGTCTTGAAAAACTTCTCAGCAGGCCCTTGGCCTAAACCTTGCACAAACATGTCTAAAAAGTGAACTCCAAATGCAGTGCTTCAAAGATAAAACAATAACGCTACTGTACTTTATATAAACAGCTCTTGCAAGGTCTGCTCCAGACAAAAACACAATAAAAGCAAACGCCTGGGAAAGTGACAAGCCCCTGCTATCTCTGATTCTTACAATCATACACTCAAGTTTACGCTTTTTTACTTATCATTGTTATTAAATAACCCTTGACATTTATTTTGTTGGCATGTCCTAATATACACACACACACACACACACACACACTCTCTCTCTCTCTCTCTCTCGCTCTCTCTCTCTCTCTCCCCCAAGAGAGCAAAGGACAAACCGCAGTCCTGAGTGTTCTGTGTGAAGCCAATTAAGACACTGCTTCTAGGGCTCCGAGACTCAGGGCTGCAGACATGGTTGCTGTGGAAATAAATTTGCCTCCGCATTTCTGGCGGAGCCGGAACCCACCGACTAACATGTCTTCAGATAGAATCCAGCATAAACAGGGCTCCTCCCCTTCATTTGTTCTTCATTTATTCTAGGAAATATATTGATGATTAGAAACTACAAAGGAAAACACGACATTCCATACACTATTTATTTTACTATAACTTGGTGTCTTCTTTTATTCAATCATACAAATTTGAATGGGCGGGTTTCCTGAATAAATCTTTTACTTAATTTACCTTTGGCAGAGACAATAGATTTCAAAACATTTAGTAGCTTCTCATTTATATAGATTTTCCTCTTTTCAAGTTCTGTAGCATATTAGTATTTTCAAAACAATACTCAAACAGATGTGCTTTGAAAGTCAACTGGTAATGATTCGATTTATATTATAGCTTATTTAAGAGAATAACTACTCAGAAAGGACAAACTAGACATGTATTTGTTTTAAAAAATACAATTTTTGGTCATGTGAATGATTCATGTTCCGATTTCAAAAATAGAAAACGTCCTAAAGTGCATCACTTTATTTATAATATAACTCCTTGAAATTATAGCAATCTGCAATGTAAACAGCAGAGCAAAGAATACCAAACTATATATATATATATAGTAGGATTACGTACCATCTTTAGGTGTGTAGATTAAACCAGGGCACTTCCAACACATAGCTCATGCTTCTATATAATTTTTTTTTAAGAGCAAACTTAAAGGTATTCTTTTCCCCCTACTCCTGATGGAAAGGATTTTCATCTGATAGACAGCTGCTACCTCATTTCAACCATGGAAAATGCTGCTATGAATCCAATCTGACCAGACGGTTTCTCAAGAACGCATTTCGGAAACTGGTTAACTGGTCAGAAAGAGTTTTCTCATTATTATTATTAAACAAAACAAAATGGTACCCCTTTGTCGTCCTGTTCATTCTGCACCATTATCTGCCAAAGGCAGAGCCCACCAAAACACTTTCTCTGGGCAACCTGGGGCTGGTGTGCAGAACCCTGTGCTCAACCTCACAAAGCACAAAGGGGCTGGGCTGGACAGGCAGAGCCAGAACCCACTTTCCTCAGTGTAGACACAGAAGGTCAGAAGGTAACAAGTCAAAAGATGACATCAGCACACTGAAGAGATGAATGATTTGGTGTCTTCAACTCCCTGGTCCCTCCAAAATGTCTAATGTAGACAGCTTTGTGACACAGTCCTTGAAGAAA